AGGAAGAAAGACGTGCCTTTCAAATAAATTGTTTATGGGACAATTAGATATCCATATATCCACATGGAACAAGTGAAATTTGACCTCTCCTATGCTCCACACACGAGTCATCTAGTGTAAAACGTGAAATAATCAAGTGTCAGGAAGCTAACAGGAAGGTAGGCACCCGGGACAGGAAGGAGCCGGAGGGATGGTTACCACCGAGCAGGGTTGTTGGGATCCTCTGGGGGGGATGTGGCAGTGTGGGCGGCTGTCAGGGCTCTGGCTCTCGACTTGGGAGTGGTGATGTGCGTTTGCTTTCTGAGAATACAAATGACCCTTGAGTGACACGGGTTTGAACTCTGAGGGTCTGCCTAGACGCGGATTTTCGATAGACACGGAACAACACTGTAATTGCATTTTCTCTTCCTTATAATTGTCTCAGTGACATATTTTTCTCTAGCTTACTTTCTTATACAGTACATGATACATTTAACATACAAAATATGTATTCATCAGTGTTTTTTGTTATTGGTAGGGCTTCTGGTCAACAGCAGATTATTAGTAGTTACATTCTGGGGGGAGTCAAACGTTATATGTGGATTTTGAGCGCATGGAGGGTCAGCGTCTCTAACGCCCACAGTGTCCAAGGGTCAGCTGTATATTCAAGTGTTAGGTTTGGGCACTTTTCTGTATGTGAGTCACACTTCACGATAAAAATGATTTGAAAAAAATGAAAACGTTTCAAGCATGTCAGCTCTTCACTCACCGCCCCGCCCCTGTACTTCTTTGTGAAACCATTTCCTGGTGGAAACGGTTCAACCAAAATGGAAAAGAAATGTATAAAAAGGGAAGAAATTGAATCAGGAAAAGTAGGTGTAACCCTGATGTGTGGAGTGAAAAAAAATGTCCAGAGGTATGCATCCTGCCAAAAATTGGTGCAACTGAGGGCTGAACGGTTTCACGGATGTGTGTCGTGTATACGCCTCTATGTGCTCTGCCAAAGTCAGAGTGTTGGCAGGTCTGGGTCCTCCTGGAGGCCCCAGGGGAGAACCCTGTCCTCCAGCTTCTAGGGGCTCCCTGTGTACCCCAGCCCCTTCCTCACATTCCCCAGCCTCTGCTTCCGACCCTCCATCCTCCACTCTGACCCTCCTGCCTCCCTCCGATCAGGACCCTGTGACCCCAGGGCCTGCCCGGATCATCCAGGATAACCTCCCGTGTCAGGAGCCTTCACTTGACCGTGGCTGTGAGGTCTCCTTGGCTGTGTGTGCGGTTCCGGGGTTATGATGCAGATGGTCAGAGGGAACAGAGCAGGCACGAGGGAGCGTGGGCAGCATCCAGTGAAGGCTGGAGGAAGCAGGTGGACTGGAGGGAGAGAGTGCAGAGTCGGACCCCAAAAGACCTGAACGGTGTGGACCAAGAGCAGGGGAACAGGCGTGTCCACATAGACACAGGGCTGGGGCAGGTGTCCCCAGGCACTGCTCAAGCCAGGGTAACAGTGGCAGGTGCCCTGTGGTTTTCCTGGCGTCCGACCCATTCCAGAGCTTCCATCTTTGGTCACCCGTGTTCTGGATCCACTAATCCCCTTGGGGGTAGAAAGGGGCCCTGGAAGGAGGACGAGGCTGTGACCCTCAGGATCTGCCCCTCCTGGAGACCCTGGCCCAGCCCCATGTGCTCAGGTGGCGGATGTTCGTCCTGCTGCAGCTGTGACCACAGCTGTCTGCTCCAGCCCAGTCCTGGTCCCCTGGAGGCCAGCCAGGAGATCACATGTGACCCCAAGTCCTACTTTCTGGGCCTCAGTTCCCGCCCCCTGTCCAATGGGGCATTTGGAGCCAGAGACCTGTGTTGCTCCTTCTGGCCCTGTCCTTCCTGGATTCCAGGTGTTTGCAAGGGCCCCCAAGGCTGGAACACGGTGCTCCTCCCTGAGGGCGCTGCCCTTGTCAGCACCCCCGTTTATAGCTCCCAGGACAGATAGTGGAGGGGTGGGCTGCAAACCCAGCCACCGGGGCTTGCGTCAGGAGCATGAAGGTTGCACAACAGTGCTCGGCTCCTGGCAGGCTCTGGAAAAGTTGTTTTTCACGGGGTGCAGCTAGAGGAACATCGGGGAAGTTAGCTCCTCCCAGCTAGGGGTGTGGGGGGCAGGGCTGGGTGGCTGGTGGAGGACGGAGGGCCTGACTGCTGCAGAGCCCTCTCCCACCGCTGCAGCCCCCAGCACCGGGCGAGGGTGCCTTCCTGGGTGCAGAAACCCAGAGCTGAAGTCCCCAGCATGGGTCAGCCAGAAAGGGGCAAAGCCAAGACCACAGTCCAGGCTGGGCTGACCCCTGAGCTCAGAGACCCCAACCTCCCACATCCCACCTCCCAGATGGACAACCTGAAGCTGGAGGGGATGGCCCTGGTCATCCAGGAGGCTGCTGGCAGGGAGTGAGGGGATGTGAAGTGACATTTGGGGGCACTTTGGGGGCCAGACCCTGAGTCAGGAGCCTCTATATGACATTTAATTCAATGTTGACTACAGCAAAGCCGGTGCCTTCCGGCCGAGCCCTGCTCCTACCAGGGCAACAACCACCCCCTTTCTGGCCCTCCCCTCCAAACTCAAGGGTTTTGGGGTGGCAGCAGCGGGGAAGGAGTGAAGCTGACAATTCGGCTCCTACCGATGCCCTCGGAGGCCATGTTCGGGGAGCCCGGTTTATCCCAGTTCCAGACTTGGGGCTGAAGTCCCTGAAATGCCTGAGATCCCAGACAGCAGGACCCGTTGGTGCCCTGCCCGCGCCCCCCCCCCCACCCCCGCCACCTTTGAGGTCTCCTGCCGCTGCAAGGGACAGTTCTGGGCTGTCAGCCGTCAGTGGTAGCTCAGGGACCTGCGGCCCTCATGCCGCTCCTCAGCCTGAGGGTTTTCTCCCGCACTGAACCCAGTAGCTCAGGCTCGTGCAAGCCAGCCGGGTGCCAGGACCTCACTCCCCCCAGGACAGACCCGCGGCCTCGGTGCGGCCGGGCATGGGGACGACTGCTCAGTGCACGTGGTAATCGGAGCCCACGGATTGCACAACTGGGGTGTTGAACCAGAGCACAGCATCCTCATTAAAAGCTGCTTGCGAGAGTTTCTGGTCTTTCTCCGGGTGTGGGTGCCAGGGGCTCTAGGGTCCGATTCTCCCCATCTTGCTGGCCAGCCACAGGGCACACAGCCGGCTGGATCCAGAATCACCGATGCCAGCTATGCCTGTCTCCAGGGATGTCCCGTGAGTCCCTCCAGGTACCACACAGAATTCCCACCACTGCCACGCCAGCTGAGGCCACCTGAAAACTGCCCTGTGGCGGGCTCATTTATACCTGGACCTGTCAAGCCTCAGGCTCTCGGAGCTTGGAGGGGCTTGAAGTCCTGCGGTTTTCACCCCTCCCTAAGGGGAAGGTGGCCAGGGGTCACATGGCTGCCCAGAGGCCAGCTGGGGGCAGACCCTGCCGCCCTGCGAGGCTTGGACCAGGGGTGTCTCTATCCCCCTCTGGGCTTGGTGGTCCAGAACCCAGGCCCGGGCCCCTTGCTCTCAGATCTGCTGGCGCCCCTCACCCTCACCCTGGTGGCCCCACTTGCTACCTGGGGGGCTTGCCCCGGGCACATCATAGCTCTCGACGCCCTGTTTGCAGCCCCCCGCCCCTGGCAATCTGCTTTGTCTCTTCCTGCCTCGTTTCCCCACTGCTGGGTGGTCTGTGGTGAGGTGACCTGGAGCAGATACAGAGAAGCTTTAGGGGACATGTAGCACGGCTTAGCTGGGGCTCCCTGTAAGCCGGGCACCTTTCCAAGTGCTCGGCCCCCTCGCCTCCGGGGCGGTGGCATCCATGTCCCTCCTCCCCCGGGGAGAGGACAGGGCAGGGGCAGGGAAGCATCTTGCCTGAGACCACAGGCCAGGAGTAAGTCGGGGAGCCAGCCCAATGCCCCTGAGCTCAGGGTGGTGTCCCCGGCCCTCGGCTGGCTGGCGTGTCAGCTGTGGATCCAAGAGAGGCTGTGGCCGGGGGGTGGGCTACCCGGAGGCCCCTCCTGGCTAAGGACCATGTGCTCGTAAACTTTAATTTCCACACAGTAGAGAAACATATGGTACAAGCAAATGGGGGTCCACTGTACAGCGAAGCTCACAAATACACCTCAACACACATGTGCTCCCCAGCTGCTCTAGGGGCCGATTCTGTGAGCCGGTGGCCCCGTGCAGAACGGCACAGGGGAGGCAAAGCCGGCTCAGTCCTCGTAAGCCCTCCCCCCATCAGGACGCTTCCTCTGCCCGCCGGCCCATGGTCACCTCCAGGGGGACAAGCAGCCTCCCAGACACTCTGCTCCTGGCCAGTCTCTCTCCTGCCCAGGAAGGTGAACCTCATCACCAGCCACAGGGTTGGGCTGGGAAGCCAGGGGACCTCCCCCCGGGGCCTGCTCTGGGCCAGGTCCCCACACTTGATGCCTCAAGGGGGTCAGACATGGCCGCCGTCCAGGTCCTCCAGGCTGGCGGAGCGACAGCCTTGGTCATTCACTGTGGTGGGCACTGCAGCGTCTGGGGCAGGGGCTGGGAGGCCTTCGTCGGGGAGGACGGGCTGGGGAACTGACCTGAGCAGGTGAGTGGGAGCAGAGGGTGGGGTAGGTGCAGGTTGGGCATTTCGACAGAGGTTGGACAGGTATAAAGGCAGGGGAGCAGAAGGGAGGGTGGGACCTGTGGGGAACTCCGGAGGAGTGTTCTGGATATCCTGGGCACTTGGAAGGTGGCCGTCAGGAGCATCTGTACGAGGGGGACACCGGCTGCCCCTGTGGCACAGTGATGTTGGAGTGTCAACCTTCCCGAAGGCTGAAGTGGGTCCCTGGCCAAGCCCTGCCTGTGTCTCTGCCCCTGGATGGCCGGGAGGAGGCCACCAGCCCTGCTGAGGACCGTTCATGGTCCTTCGTCCTGACCCTGCGCGCGGCAACAGCTCTGGACGGGACCTCTCGGCCGGCGCCTGTCCCGGGCTGCAGGCTCTGGCACGCGGCGACGTGGGGAGGGGCCCCATGCTCACAGGACCACCTCGGGCGCGATGCTGAACAGGAGGTCATCATTCCCCCGCCGCACCTCCAGCAGCAGAGGGGACTCCGTCAGGATGGCCTCCTGCAGCTCGCTTGAGTCCACCAGAGGGCGCCCGTTGACCTTGACGATGATGTCGCCATCTTGAATGCCCCCTCTGCCAATGGAGAGACACCCAGTCACCGCACATCCCTGAGAGGCTGGGACCCCGCTCAGGGGACGATCCGGTTAAACAGCAGCAGTTAAGAAAAGTCATTTCAACAGGTAAGAACAGCATCCTGTAAGAACCGCAAGGTTCTTACACCAGATGGAAACCGATGTCCTCCAATGGGCTAGTGCTTTGTGAGCCTGCTTCTTCTCTACATTACAAGGGCTGGGTTCAAGTTCTGGCTGTAGCCTTTTTGGCTGGGCTGCCGCAGGCTAGGCACTTGGCCCCTTTGAGCCTCAGTTTCCATATCTGCGGTCCCATGTGGGAACAGGCTTGCGGATTACAAGGTCCAGGCTGCAGTGAGGGTTGACTAATGAGGCAGCAGACACCCTTGCCACTGAGCCCACCACTCTAGCTCTTGAGGCGGCTTGCCTGGGGTCCCTCCCAGTAACTGCTGAAACCCGAATAAGGGGCCTGAGTTTGGTGGCTATTCATTGGCTTCACAGACCTATGTTCCAACAAGTTCTACCGCAGGCCAGCTGTGGACCGAGCACCTGCGCTACAGGGCATGCATCTTCCCACACAGCCTCTGAAGCAGCATGACAGAAAACAGGAAGAGGGGTCCTGTTCGGTGGCGGGGGCCCTGTGGGGCTGGAGGCCTGCCTGCCTGACTCTTCTCCACTCCACACCCTGCCCTCGCCCCTCACAGACCCTCTGTGCATGACCTCCAGCTCCAGGGATTACTGTGTAGACCACTGACCGAATGAGCTCACATACCGTACAGACACACACCTGGGGCAGATGAGGGAAGGGCTTGCTCAGAGCCCCTCTGGGGCCTGAATCAGCCGCGCAAGCATGCAGCACCTACACTACACGGGCTGGCTCAGCTCACGGTGCTGCAAACAGTCAACTGTTCTCCGATACTTGGCAGTTTCAAAGAAAAAGGTGCTTTGTCTCATTTGATCTTGACAAAGCCTCCTGAGGGGAGAAAGGGTAGGCCGAATTGTGCCCATTTTTCAGATGAGGAAACAGGCCCAGGAAGACCCCAGTGCGCCCACCGAGCTGGTGGGAGTTGGGCTGGATTGGGGACTGAGCTCTGGTGGGGTCTCCACTACTGTCTCTAAACCCAAAGGAGAGGACACACTGGGCTGAGGAAGGGCACTGTCAATGCTCTAAGGGGTACCTCATCTCTCCAGCCTGCCCCTGGTTTAGGCGATAGGCCGGAATCCCACCTGCCACTTCCGTGCCATGTCATGTGCTGGGCGGGGGGGGGATGGTGGCTCAAGGTCAAGCAAGGTCACTGAAGCGGGCCCACCCTAGGCCTCATGCCCACCCAACTCCACCTGCCAGGATGTCTGATATCCTCCTGTCCAGTGTCCCTGCTTCCCATAGTGCAGCCTACCTCTGAGAAGGTGAGTTTGGAACAACCTCTTGCACATAAATCCCACTGCTGACCGATGGGAAGTCTGGGTTGCTGGCCTTTAGTTCTTCTACCAAACTGAAAAGGAAGTTCCACAATGAACACACTTCTTCTGAGCCTCCGTGGCACAAAGCTGCCCTCCCTCCCCCCACCACCCACGCCAGAAGAGGCATCTTTGGACCCCGCCACTGCTCTGTCCTACCACTGACCACTCTGGGTTGTCACTGATTCTTCTCAGTGTCCCCCACTTGACATGGGATCAAGAGAAAGTTTACTGAAGGTAGGTGATTAGAAGTGTGGATGGGGGGGTGATGGATAGACGGGAGGGTGGGTGGGAGGAGGGATGAGAGGAAGGAAAGGTAGAAGGATGGATGAACAAATGGACAGATGGATGGATGGAAGGAAGGATGGATAAATGGACAGATGAAAGATGAGCAATGAGTGAGTCATGGACTGGATAGACAGAGGCTGGACAGATGGCATGATGGATGGATAGATGGATGGATGGATGGATGGATGGTGTGATGGATGGATAGACGGATGGTGTGATAGACTGATGGAAGGGTGGTGTGATGGATGGATGGACAGACGGTGTGATGGATGAATGGATGACAGTCAGAAAGAAAGAACACATTTAATAGATAAAAGTTGGTATATTGGTCTTGATTACAAATGACTGTTAGATTTAATCCCTAGATTAGCAGTTGATCAAATGGGAAGTATGATCATTTTAGGGACTGTATAGTTTTGAGGGTATAATCAATTGAGCATGCCTTAGTTTTCCCCAGAGCACCCAATGCTCCTCCTTCTCCAAATCCTTGGACTTGGCTTTGCATATTTTTCTCTCCCTGATTCCCTTCCTTCCCCCTCTTTCTCCTTTTCCTTACACACCCCACCCTTTATTTCACTATCAGTGTTTCCAGCCACCCACTCTGCTACAGACATGATACTGATGAGCAGGACAGAGTCCTCACTCCCAAGGAGCTCAGGTTCAAAGTTGAGGAGTGTAGGGTACAAACAGGCAATTCCAACCCATGGGGCCAGGGCAATGCTTGGAAAAGAAGCACAGCTATGCAGGGGGAAAAGGTGGAACTCCCCCCATTTGAGCGGCATGGTGAGGAGAACAGTGTCTCCCCAAAATTCGTGTCCACCCAGAACCTCAGAATGTGACCTTTGGTACAAATAGGGTCTTTAAAGATCTAACTCCTTAAGGATCTCTAGGTAGTGTCATCCTGACTTAGGGTGGGACCTAAATCCAAGGACTGGTGTTTTCATAAGAGAAAGAAGAGGGAGATTTGAACACAGACAGAGGAGGCCACAATCTGCAGATGGAGGCAGAGATTGGGGTGATGTGGCTACAAGCCAAGAAACACCTGGAGCCCCCAGAAGCAGGGAGAGCAAAGAAGAACTCCCCACAGAGCCTCCAGCGGGAGCACAGACCTGCTGATGCTCTGATTTTGGACTATTAGCATCCAGAACGGCAAGATAATGAATTCCTATCGTCTTAAGCCACCCAGTTTGTGGTAATTCGTATGGCAGCCATAGAAGCTTTCTTCCTGGAGGAGGGGGCACCTGAATGGAGTCCTGAGGGAGCTGAAGGAACCTATCAGACAAAGCAGGGAAAGGCATTGCAAGCAGAGGGCTTGCCTGAGCAGAGGCTTGGGAGTCTGAGTGTCTGGCCCTCGGGAACACCTGCAGGTGGCCAGACACAGCTGGGCAGGGTCTGGGAGGAGAGCTGAGGAGAGGGATGAGGATGGAGGGGCAGCAGGGTTGCATCCTCAGACACTCACCTCAGTGTGATGGTCCGCATCCGTATGCCAATGAATCGCTTCTTCCAGTCTGGGAACAAAACAGGGCAGGACTCCGTTAGAGCCACTATGAAAGCCTCTGCCCTCCTTGAAGAGCCATGTGGGGGGCTGAAATTCCCCCCAGGAGCAAAAAGCAGCAGGATCCATCCTATATGGTCACAGGCTAGAGCTGCCTCTATCTTCCAGGCTGTTGTTGAGGAGCTGGGAGATGTCCTGCCTAGTCTGGTAACTTCATGCTCACCCTTGCTCTCAGGCCCCATGCAACGACATCAGCTCCCACAGCTGCTTGGCCGCTGAGCCCCACACTCAAACCCCAATGGCCAGTGGGGCTCTCCTCTCCAGCCTCCATCTCACAGGCTCCCCAAACTCATCTGCTCAGATCTGAACTTGTTACCTTCTCCTGCCTTCTCCATAAATTATAACATTAGCCTATAATGCCCAGTGAGTACTAGCCATGTGCCAGGCCCTCCAGTTGGAGACTTAAACACACAAATTTCCAAGGCTGCGCCAGCCTGTGATTTAGAAAGTGTTTTAACCCCAGAAATAGCATTTACCTATTTGGTACCATAAAACAAGTCTCAGTACAATTAAAATGTCTTACAAAAACATGCTCTCTGACCACAATGGAATTAAAGTAGAAATCGGTAATAGAAGGGTATCTAGAAGATTTCCAACAACTTAGAAACCAAATAACACACTTCTGAATTCTTCATCTTCAAAGAAGAAATAAAAAAGGAAATTAGAAAGTATTTAAAACCAATAAAAATGGGAAAATGACATATCAACAGTTGTGAGGTACAGGTGAAGCAGTACATGGGGGAAATTAATAGTACCAGAGTGCTAATATCAGAGAAGAAAGGTCTCACATCACTGATTTTAGCTTTCACCTTGAGAACTAGAAAGAGAAGACCAAATGAAACCCAATGTAAGAGGAAGAAAGGGAATAATAAAGACTAGAAATCAGTGAGATAAGAAAACAGAAATTCAATACAGAAAATAAATGAAGAGCAAATCTTATTCTTGGAGATCAATAAAATCAATAAGCTTTCGGCCAGACTTATCAGCCAAAAGAATAAAAAAGAAAAAGACAAGACAATTATCCACATCAGGATCAGGCATGGGAGAAGGGACATCACCACAGACCCTACAGTACTGAAAGAGTAGTAAGATGTAATTATGAACAACTGGATGCCAACACATTTGACAACTCAGATACAATGCATACATTTCTTGAAGTTTCCAAACTGCCAGATCTCACTCAAGAAGAAGCACATAACCACAGTAGCCCTGCCTTTATTTTGTAGTTAAAAATCTTCCTACAAGGAAAACATCAGGGCCAGATGGTCCCACAGGAGAATTCTACCTAATGTTTAGGAAAGAAATAGTATCAACTCTGCAGAAACTCTTCTAGAAAACTGAAAATGAGTGAACACCTCTGGGATGTTGTGATTTATAAGAAATATGTGTTTTGGTTTTCGTTTATGGTTCCCAGCACACGGCCCCTAAAACTTCTGTAATTCCCTGTGACAAGCACTCTGGGGACATCTTTTTGCTGCCAGCCCCTGAAATAGCCTCATGGTGATACATGTGTGAAGGACATCTTCTGTTACTCTTACAAGAAGCCCCTTTCAACCACTCCCGAGTGTATGTAACTGCGGTGGTTTTGAGAAGCCCCTAAGGATGGGTCTGGTTGCCAGGAAACCTACAATGTGATTAGGGGGTTGAACTTCAGCCCTAACCTCCACACCCCTTCTGGGGAAAGGTGAGGGGCTGGACATGCAAATAATCACCAATGGCAGTGATTTGAACTAATTGTGCCTACATGATGAAGCCTCCATACAACCCCAAGAGCAGGGATCAGAGAGCTTCCAGGTTGGTGGACGTGGAGGTGCTCTGTGTCTTTTCCCAGACCTACCCTGTGCTTCCCTCCTGTTGTTGTTCTTGAATTATACCTCTTTATATACAAACTGGTCATCTAGCTAGTAAACTGCTTTCCTGAGCTCTGTGAGCTGCTCCAGCAAATGATCAAACCCAAGGAAGTGGCCGTGGCAACCCCCAATCTCTAGCCGGTGGGTCAGAAGCACAGATGACAGGCTGAACTTGTGATTGGCATCTGAAGTGGGGGGCAGTCTTGTGCGACCTTAACTGTGAGTTCTGATACTACCTCCATGTAGACAGTGTTAGACTTGGGTGAAACAGTAGGACAGCCAGCTGGTGTGGGGAAGCTCCTTGCATTTGGTCACTAGGGTGTCAAGTGAAACGGTGTCATAGCAGAGAACTGAGGACAGACAAGAGGCACAGGAGGAGTGTTCTTCCTAAAAATTTCCCAACCATCATCCTGATGCCAAAACCAGGAGAGAAAACTAGACCAACACCCCTCACGAAGATGGCTGCAGAAAACCCTTAGACATGTTCCGTGAATCAAATCCAACAACATATCCCAAGGATAATGCATCACGACTGAGGGAGCTTTATCCCAGGAATGCAAGGATGGTTTACCATTCAAAAATCAGCCAAAGCAATTTACCACATGAACAGACTACAAAGGAAAGTTGCCATCTCAAAAGGTGCAGAAAAGGAGTCTGACAAAATCTTCTAACATCTGTTCCTGAAAAACCTACGAATTCAAGGGAACTTTTTCCACCTAATGAAGGACGCCTGCAAGAGACATTGAGCGAGCATCCTCCTTGCTGGTGAGAGATAGAGACTTCTCCCCAAGGGCAGGAAAGACGCCAGCCCATCCACTCTCACCACTTATTCAATATCTTACGGAGGCTCCATCCCGGCGAGAACAAGAGAAAAGGCATCCAGACTGGAAAGAAGCCAAACTGACTCTGTGCACAGACTGCAGAATCATCTGTGTGGAAAGGCTGATGGAACCCACAGAAAGTCCTACCAGCATAAGCTGCGAAGGTCACGGGATCTTTCATGATTAGTCGACATACGAAAATCAACGTTACTTGTATATTCTGGACGAACAATCGGAAATTGAACTTCAACATTGAAACAACTGAAATTGAAATCAGGAATTGACAAGCTGATTCTAAACTCCATGTGGAAATGCAAAGGATCCCCCAAAACCAGAATGACGCTGGAGGCGGGACAAAGCCGGAGGGCTGATGTCGCCTGACTTGAAGACTCAGCAGAACTGCAGGAATCAGGACAGACAGACAAGTGGGACAGAATGGGCTCATTTTATTTTCGACAAAGGAGTAAAGGCCATTCAGTGGAGAAAAACACACGATGTCGGGACAACTGACTCTCCAAAGCGGGGGAAAAAAAAAGAACTTTGATTCATACGTTGCACCCTTTTAAAAAATTAATTCAAATTGCATTGTCATCCTAACTCGAAGACCTCAGAAAGTAAACTGCTAGAAGAAAAGGTAGGAGAAGATATCCCTGACCTTTGGTTAGCAAAGATTTCTTAGATACAATTCCACATGCAACGAGCCATTAAAAATATAATTGGCAAATGAGACTTCATAAAAATTGACAAAACACCCGCTCTTTGAAGGCACCCGTCAGGGGAATGAAGTTAAGCGGCGGGAGGAGACATTTGCAGCTCGTCTCTCTGACAAAGGCTCCCATCCAGAATGCACCCAGACCCCTCTCAAAACCTTGTAAAAACACAAAAAACCCAAGTTTTTAAAGTGGGCAAAATATCTCAACTAACATTTTTGCAGGGCGGGGATGAGGGGCTGGCCCATGGCTCCGCTGGGTCGGTGGCTTTGGTGTTTACCCCCAGCAAGTGCAGCCCCGGACGCTTTGGAGCAGAGTGCGGTCTGCCCTACGTGGTCTGCCCTACGTTTTGAAAGGACCCCTCGGCTGGGACGCATCTGTAGGGCAAGGGCAGCTGCTCATCCCAGTGCAGCGCTCCACGACGGGGCCAGGCTGGTGATGGAAATCTGGGAGTCACTCCCTAGACGGCATTTCCATCCATAGGCGGGGTGAGGTTCTCAGAGCTCGGAGAAAGGCCCACCATCCTGCTCCTGACATGGGTGCTGGCCCCTCGTCAGCATCGCTCAGAACCCTAAGGTCATGCTTCAAAACAGGAAGGAGGCTGAGCTTCCCATGCTTGTGTGTGAGCAGCGCCCTGGCTAGGCAGAGGGGCAGCCCTGTCCCCCCAGAGGCAGAGGCCATCCCATTAGAGACCTTGGTTGGAAGCCCACGGCCCACCCCAGAGCCAGCAGGCTCAGCCAGATGTGGCTTCTCCAGAAACCCGGGCGGGTGGGGCTGGTGCGGGGTGGCCTGATTGAGTTTCCGGGTCAGCAGACAACCCTGTGTCTCCTCCTTCACGGGAAGATCACCGAAATGCAGAGGGTCCCGCGTGCTGTGCTGGGAACATGGAGGTGGGCTGAAGGTCCTGACTTTGTTTCCTGCTACACAGGCCACGGAAACACTCTGGAGCCACGTGAGGCAAGAAAGCCAGTGAAGGAAATGAAATGATAGGGGGGGGGAGGAGGGAAGGGGAGGGTGTTGGGGGACCGAGGAGAGGGAGGGGAAGGGGGAAGAGAGCCAGCTTTGGGTACCGATCACTCCCTTCAGAGACCGGCAGCCCCCCACACCACGAGGGCACTAACGCAGCTGGACAGGGCACTGAAAGGGGTTCGCTGTATGGAACGTGAGTTTCACCTCAACAAAACCCCAAACCAAGCCAGAGAGAAGCTCACGCCTGGGGCTTTGCGGGCATCAGGGCTGACCCCTGATTTGCCCCCTGAACCCCCATCCCAGGAGCTGCCCCTCCACCTCGCTCACACTCTGCATCTCGCCTTCCAGCAAGCCCTGTTGGCTCCCAGTTCAACACTGACCGGGACCCAACCACGCCTCACCCTGCAGCCGCCGTCACCCCTGCCTCGCCCCCGCTGGTTTCCCTCAGCAGAATCCCCCCAGCACCCGTGGCTCCCCGCCAGCCCATGCCTGCCGCCCCCACCCCGCGCCCCCTCTCCCTGCCCCCCTCCCAGGACAACAGGGGGGGCCCCCCGCCCCCCGCCGCCCCCCCCCGTGCCCCCGGACCCCTGCACCCCTCTCCTGCCCCCCTCACGGGATACAAGGTGGCTCCTGCAGCCCGCCTTCCCGTCTAGAGTAAAAGCTCCCGGCTGCCGTGCGCTGGGCTCTCTGCCCACGGGAGTCCAGGCTCTGCGCAGGCGCACATCCGCTGTGGGCCCCTCTGGCCCCAGCCCCGCGCTGCAGCCCTGAGCGCTGAGCACCGGTCCTAGCCCCGGGCTGCGGAGAGCCGAGCTCAGGTTTCGGGGACACTAAAGCCTAGGTGGACCTTGGAGAAGGGACAGTGGGCTGCAGAGCAAAGGTGCTGCCCCGCCACACCCTTGCCTCTGGCTGCTGCCTCCAGGCCTGGGGGGGGAACACTCTAGCCCACAGGTGTCCCTAGTCTGCCTGTGACCTGGAGGCCAGGGAATGTGCATTCCAGTCGCTTCTTGCCGGAACCCCAGCGCCTCCCTGCAGCTCTCCCTGGGCGCATAGGCCACAGAGACCCCTGGGGCAGGAGACGAGTGACGTTTCCACTCCCCAGGCTGGATGGGACCCCACAGTTCACAGAGGGCCAGATATCCATAGCCACCCAGCCCCATTGACCCAAACACCCCTGGGGGCACGCTCTAGTCCTAAACCTGGCTGAGCCCCCAAACTCTCCTGTGGCCTGAAGCTGAGGTTCCCTTGGACCAGCATGGTGGCCCCTCTTCCCTTGAGAGCCACCCAGAGGCCTCTGTACCCCATACCTAGACAGGAACAAGAAATGCACTGTAATGTCTCCTTGGTTTAATTTAAGGATGTCTTGTTTTAAAGAACTTTAGATTAACTGGGTTTAAGTATTTTGATAATTTTATTAAGACAAAAAAGCAGGAGTAAACACCAGTCAGCTTCAGAAGGGCTTTAAATTATAGATTCAGTCATCCAGCTAAGATTTGTTGGGCTTTCTGATGAGTCCACATGTCCTGGGGGAGGTGACAGCTCTGGGGACAGGGCCTGAGAGTTTCCCAGGGTATCTGGGGTGAGGTCACCACTGACAGGGATAGTCTCTGCACCACAAAGGAACGGACCCTGCTGGCCCCTGGTGGGTTCTGAGAGAGGAGAGGAAGCAAGGCAAGAAGCAAGAGGCTGCTATCATCCGATTTCTAACAGTCACCTGACAGCTCAGTCTGCAAAATGCAGCTCCACCGATTTCCAGAAAGGGAGCCAAAGTGAAAGGCACCCTTGGAGCAGAGGATAATCACACTAGAAAAGCTCAGTTATTAGAGAAAGCACCAAGGCTATGCCAGGTGTGAAGGTGCAACCCTGGGTTAAGTTCTGAGCTTCCTAGCAGCCAAGGAGAAAAGATGTGGGGTTAGATACCCCCCCCGCCCCGTCCAATAGAAGAAGCGTTGAGCTTCTTCAGGGAAGATGGGCTCTACCCTGGCTCCAGGCCATCTTCACATGAGGGACCCCGATGAACCCAACGGAGTCCTCAACAGCGGTTCTTCACGTGACCAGTCCTCATGGCACTGGTCTTGGCTGCACTGGGCTCCGTGTGCTTGGCTGGTGGGATCGTGGAGGATCAGGCAAGCATGAGGAAGCCCCCTGCTCTCAATGAACTGCTGGTGAGGGGGCTGGGAGGAGACATGGAAGCAATTTGAAGGTGTGAGTAGTGGGGTCGAGGCAAGTCTGGGCATTGGCCAGGTGGGCATGGAAGACAAAATGGCGGGAGACGTTCACTTGGGCTAAAATGAAAGGCGGGAAAGTGGAGGGCACCAGGAAAGCTCCTGAGATCAGGAGACGTAGGACCCTCCTTTGGAAGGCAGCTGTGACCACCAACTTTAAGAAGGTGATGGGCAGGCCCTCACTGGGGAGAGTAACCTGTGCCTGGCTAAGGCCTCCCCCAGGTGGGTGCTCACGGCCATCCAGGCGTGGGCAGGGAGAACTGGACACCCCTGTGCGAATGGGGAGATGGGGCTGAGATGAAGATGCCTTCCAAGGATCAGGGGCTTGGGCTCTGCTCCCCGGGAGTAGAGAATACCCTCCTGGACAGGCTACATGACCAACAGGCTAAAAGAGGGAGTCCTTAGGGATGAGCAGATGGGAGGGAGGGAGGGTGGATGGGTGGATGGCTGGGTGGATGGGTGGATGGATGGATGGGTGGATGGGTGGATGGATGGATGGATGGATGGATGGATGGATGGATGGATGGCTGGGTGGATGGATGGATGGATGGATGGATGGATGGATGGATGGATGGCTGGCTGGCTGGATGGATGGATGGATGGATGGATGGGTGGATGGATGGGTGGATGGATGGATGGATGGATGGAGGGATGGGTGG